CTTGCCCACCTCTCAAGGTTGTTGTGAAGGTAAAGGGGAGAGGAGGCATGCACTCTGAACATTGCCCTGGCCTTTTTGGGAGCGAGATGGAATAAAAATGTAATGGATAAAAAGAGATGGAGTTCAATGAAACTGGTGGGAGGTGGTGGACATTGGATGGCACCTTGGAGGCCAAGGATGACAGCCTGGCTTGCGTGTGGTGATTCAAGGTGGTGCAGGAGTCCCCAGCCTTTGTACTCCTCTGGGCACATTTGGAATTCTGACACAAGGTGGTGGTGGAACTTCAAAATGGCTGTGACGGAAAGTAGAGCCACCCACAAAATGGCTGCCACAGGAGGCATGGCCACCCACAAAATGGCTGCCAGAAGAGGCGGAGCCAACCACAAAATCACAGGCAGTGAGAGCACACATAACTCTAATAATAACTCTTCAACATTTCAGGCAGAAGCTCTGTTTATCAGGAAGCCTTTTAAAATAAACAAATTGTTTAGAAATATTTTCTTGCCTACACCTTCAGTTGTACCATGACTATCCTTGTGATGTGGCGACAGCTACTGCTGAAGCAACATTTTCAAAAATCTGTACAGCTAACGAGGTCCCCAGTGGCCAGTCAGAAGGCTTGCTGGGCAAAGCCCCACCTTGCCCCAACCACTTTCCAAAAAGACTTGGTGGGCACCAGGAAAGGTGTGGGTGGGTGCGCTTATGGGCACCACGTTGAGAACCCCTTGAGATAACATCTGAACAGAGCTAATAGCTAAAGCTCTTGCCAGGCCATGAAGAAAATGGCCTGTCTTTTTTCTTTTTCTCTCCTCCCCCTGAGAATTTAATGGCCATTTCTGCGCTGACAGCTTGCTCCAGAGAATCTGAGGAGTCAAGCCTTAACGGTTGACTTTGCAGTCGCACGCATTCCCTCTGCACTGGTTTCCCCCCCCTGGTTTATTTGTGTATTCTGCATGCATTCTGCGTCTACAAGCAAAACCCGTGTATCTTGAGCTAACTGGCTGCCAAACCCCCCTCCCTCCGTGATTCTGCAAAAAGAAAGGGAAGGGAGGGGGAAATCCAGACCCAGACAGGCAAGGCTGACACATTTGGGAGCAGGGAATCCCCTAGTCCTTTATAGTTACTGATTCCTTCTTATACTCTCTCTGGT